TTTGTGTTTTTTTCTCTGCCGCGTTGGGGAAGTACACACATCCCAATTCAAAATTGAGGTGGCCAGCATCTTAACGCTCTGAGCCGTGTTAATCAAATGGTCTGCATATCTTTTTAATAGGACACTTTACCTGTATCAGTATTGAATGAGGGATGAAAAAGTTAAATTTACGAATAAGGTAAGGTAAAGGTGCAGCTCTTCAATTACTCACTCATGCCACTGCTGGTCGAGCAGCCTCCGCTAGAGCGAGCTCTAGAGAGCCTCTGTAAAGGTTATTTTGGTCTACTCTTCCACGCTGATGATTATTGGTGGTAATAGTAATGTTAGTGATACCAATAATAACACTGGTCAACAACAACAAAAAATTCTGGCCTGGACTTTTGCAGCTGATTTAGACTAATTTCAGGGTGCTGATTCCCAATCTGATCTCAGATTTGCTCTATCACATCTCATTTTTATGCTATCGGCATACCCGATTTTCATTGATTTTACCCGAAATTAACTCTGTTACTTATGATTGCAAGTTGTTGCGAGTCACTGACTGCTTTAGTGTTAAAATATGGTGCTGTATTTTTAGGATAGTGTGTTTATAATATCATTTTATGTAGATATCCACATTTATTTAATATTTTTCTTCTGCAGTTTTTATTGAAAATGCAATATTTGATATCTCAAAAACCTGATGTGATAGACAAAAACTGATGCCAGATTTGGAATCAGCACCCCAAAAATACCTTAAAAACGTTGGAATACCTCATGCCAGAAAAAGTGTGTTGACCAGTGTAATCATTAAACAACATCTTGACTGGGTGTTTTTCAGGTCTATAAAGTGGTCGTGTCGAACGAGGGCAAGTCCTGGTTTGTGTTGGGTCGCTATGCCGAGTTTTACAAGCTGTACCAGAGCGTGAGTATTCGTAACCGTCCACACACTCACATGGGCACACAGCATACACAGACTCACGTGGAGCCAAAGCTGTTAGCAGGAACCTGTTAAAGCTATTATGGCACCCAAGTAGATGTTGTGTTTAAAAATACACATCATCCACTTCCTTTGCCTTCCCCAGGACTGATTTAAAACATACTAGATGGTTAACTTAATTTGGGCTAAGTCAACCTAGAAGAGGTGCAAGGCAGGTGCACATAATCTTTACCAATGGCGTCATGCTTCACATGCTTCACAGCAAGGAATTTGCCAAAGGTCACTGCCTGTTAGTGCAATAACATTATGCTAAATACTAATACATAACTTCCAATGCACGCACATATACCAGCTATTTCCCACTAAGTGGTGGTGACATCACCACAGTGCTTGTGCCAGGATAGGTGCTCTTTGAAGCCATATGAATGAAGCATCGTACACTCACTGGCAGGAAGTCACAGCACAGGCCCAGGTGCTATGGGTTAACTGCTTGAAATTAATTAAAAAAAAAGCACCACTGATACTAACTGCCATTCTCCATTAAGCATCGGTGACATTGCTACCTGAACAAATACTTATAGGTTTGAATGGGGTCCTAGGTCAACTCCTACCCCCGTAGTGAGCCTACTAACTTTCTTATTGAGCTTATTTGGCCCATGCCTTCAAATCACCCCTGCCCAAGTGCTAGGTTCATGACCCGCTCAGGCAATAACGTCACCTAATAATATTACTGTCCTCAAGGGCAACTTTGGCCAACATCTAGGAGAGTAGGTTATATAAGGCATCTGACTCTTCAGCCTTGCCTGCATCCCTCCACAGATGTCCATCTTCTGTGGGGCCATAGAGAGCCACCGTCACCACTCTCACCTCCTGGTGATGAAAAAGAAAGCCCACAAAAGCCCAGGAGTCACAGCCACCCACACACCACTGGCAAGCTCAGAGTCTCCCTTCATTCATTATTTATTCAAATAAGAGCCACTCTTTGTTTTTCATGTTATCCTGCCCAAAGTTAAGTGATTGGTCAACTCCTCATAGTGACAAGAGCCAAAACCAGTTTGGCTGAAACACCTCGATTCCACAGAGGTCCATGTGGTACTAGTCCAGGTCCCAACAGAGAAATGGAAGGCTTTCCACCCCAGCGAACATTAAGACTTCCCATGTGGCGAGCTATAGCAATTATCTTTTGTTTCTTGAGGCTCCCCAGAGGGAGTTTTAGTCCTCTGCTTATGCCAAATGGGGTTTGGTCATTGGACGCCATGAATGCCCGCTCCCTTGGGGCCTCCCAATTTATTTGAATTACCTATACATGGAGGGGTTTACCAGCTGCTCACTTGGGTTCAGAGCCCGCATGTGATACTGTCGTGGATCTGAATATAACGTGAGCGTAACCAGTTGGCTAACATCAGCCTTTCCCCAAATAGCATTGTTTACAATACACAACAGCGTTACCGTCTGGTGCCATGAGGAGTTGGGGGAGTTGTTTTGTCAGACAACAAGTACACATGCACTATTACACACACGCATGCATGCATGTATTCATCTTGGTTGACACATGCAGTTTCATAGCTAACAGGTTCGTGGCTATTGAATGTGTGCACAGTTAAAGAACACATTCCCGGAGATGCACATCAAGTTTCCACCAAGAAGAAATTTTGGCAGTCATTTTGATCCCGGTGAGATGATTTGGCTGCATGATTTTTTCGTGCAGACAAAGACACACACGCACGCCATATATGTATGAAGGTCATTATGTGCCCTAAGCAGGGATTATATTTTGGGTCTAGTATCACCCACCTTGTTATGAATCCCATCTGCCCATAGGCAACAGGCAGTTCTGCTTCCTGGGGTAATTGGACCACGTTGGACACTGCGTTCATCATATATTTATAATATGTGTGCATCTCACTTCATCTTCCATGGGGCAATATTGCTCTGCCCCTCCTTGTGTTTGGTGGGGAAAGCTGCAGACACTGCAAGTATGGCCCATGGTTGTCTGTCACGTGCAAGGGGTAATTTGAAGGTGATGTTTTAAAAACTGAATGCAGTGTAGCAAGAGAGCACAACGAAGAATGATATTCCAACAACCTGCACAGTGATACCCACAAACAAGTTTTTTTTAAAGGTCATGCCAACACATTGTGAATCGTACACCGAACCTGCATTTGACCTGACATAGGGTATTATTCACATTAACATAGTTCTTAACTCATGAGTCAAGGGCCTTGTCATTTATGCATTTACACACAAGCATGACTTGGTAATATTATGTTGTTGAAGCAGGTGGGAGCCAGTTAGGCTGTACCAACTGCAGTAGGGGGTATCCATCACATCGTTCCAATGTGGCTGGGTGGCTCTAAAAGTCAATGGTAATGACAATATCACAATAATAAGTGAAGTTAAAGATGCAGCCCTGGAATTACTTACTCACATCACTGTTGACGCATGGGCCTCCGCTTAAGGGAACTCTAGAAAGTCCTTAAAGAATGTGATTTTCCTACTTTTGCACGTTGGCCAGAGGTCTTTGGAATAGGTTGGAGAAGCCACATTCTACCCCACAACACGTGATCTGCCAATCAACATACTCTGTTGTTTACACCATTTGAACCTTATTTTCCAGTAAAAAAATATATGATAATTGTTTTTTTTACCCTTCTATCTGGCAACAAAACTGACACCTTTTTTTACAAGGAGTCATGTTTGCATAGACCAAAATACCTGCAGTCATAATGCAAACAAAAAAACATAACTCTGATAATGTGCACTGTCCTTGAAGTTGATTGGTCCACACCCGAGACAGCTTTCCTTAGAGCCTAGTCTCACATGGGTTGGACCAGATGACGCTGTCTCGGGTGTGGCCCAATCAACTTCAAGGACAGTGCACATTATCAGAGTTATGTTTTTTGTTTGCATTATGACTGCAGGTCTATGCAAACATGACTCCTTGTAAAAAAAGGTGTCAGTTTTGTTGCCAGATAGAAGGGTAAAAAAACCAATTATCATACTCTGGTGTATTCATTTATACTGCGAGGTTGACAGTGGCAGGGAAATCTAAGGAACGTGGCCCATTGCTTGAACTTATGCGCCGGGAAACCAAACCGATGACCTCTGGATACAAGTCCAGTATGCTAATCGTTCCATAAACACGGTATCCCTACAGAGTACTTGGGTTTAAATGAAACTAATAGAAGCCTGAGATTAAACCAAGCTCTTGCGTGGAATGAGTTGGCCGTTGCAGGTCAATCGCTAATGACCCATATGAAAAACAATGTCATTAAAAATAATTCTTCACTTAAGTCGTATCATTCCAACACTGAAGGATGTATTTGTGAAATTGCTACGCAGTTATTCAGCAGAACTGTACAAAGAAAGGCCCTCACTCTTCACAGTTAAAGAAAATGCAGCCTACATATTCAGATTCCAAAGAACACAGGATGAGATGTTACTATACTTTGTGCAAGCACTTACTTAAAGGATATCACAAGGTTTTTGATGTATTTTTAGCTCTGAGGTTCCACGATAAATTGTGTGGCTCTGCTGTTTAAAGCAATAACCCAGATTTATTTTTTAATCATGGTTGCTGAACAAAGGCCAAAGTGTCTAACCCACCAAGTGGCCAGCTGCAATGAAAGATAAAAAAATATAAATAAAAAATACTTCACTATATGTTCAGATGCTTCTAGCACAATTTAGATCCAAATTATATTTTTAATGCAAAATTTTGTTTAACAAAAAATTTGACCATTAAATATAAGGTATTTTAAAAAATCTATTTCTGATCTAGAACATTTGATAATTGAGGGAGATTTGTAAAATTAGTTCCAAATGTACATACGTTGAACTTATTTCGTACAGTACGTAGCCAACCGTGATAATCGGAGGGGGGTAATTGTCATAAACATGTCCAGGAGGACATTGTATGAAGACAAAAATGAATAAAGGAATGCATGAGAGGAATGTGCTTCAAAATAAAACAAGGCATCTGTGTTTAACGACAATCACCACCACGCCCGTGCCACACAGCACAGGTCTACTAAAGGAGACATGCTGCACGAAAAGTCATACAATTGTAGGGCTTCATCCTGCAAGTTGTATCCATTATATATAAAAATAAAACTGGCATGGCCTTTTTAAGTAACATTTAAAGGTTGATGTTCTTATTCTTTTCAAATGCAGCTTACTTTTGCGTGACACCTGATTTATTTTTTCCGATTGGTAGTATTGGATTGCGTTCAAGCAAATTATTTCATGTTGCTCTTAGGCAATGATTCCTAGTGGATACTTAGCCACATTTAGTTCACAACAGCGACTTGAGTGTCACTGCAACGATCAAACGTAAACGGATCAAACATCCTGAGTAAACCAATATACCAAGACATCTTGTTCAACCAAGTGGCTTCATAATTTCGTCTATATTTAATATGTTTAAGAAGTTTTTGAGCTGAATATATAGGATAGAACTACCATCATCCTTTCTCTGTCATTGCTAAAACATGGCCGTCAAGAATGAACCAACTAAACGACGATCGTGCACCAAATTGAGAGCAGTTGCCACAGTGCTTGTTGGTATGTATGACAATTCCAAATATGTATCGATATACGGCTACAATTTGTAAGTGCTCTGAACAGTTAATATGGTGTATCTAACTGTGTTCCTCGAATTCAAAGAATGCATCTCCATACTTTTTGCCCATTTGCAGCCTTTCTTATATTTTCTTTTTCAATGTCCATGTTTCTAATCCTTACGTCATAGCAGGCAATGTACATGGATTCATATCTAATTCTTTGTTTGCAACTTTGGTATGTTGTTTGTAATAATCAAATTCACTTTTCCAAGACCACTGCAACCTCCTGTCGCCCACCTCTTTAATCTATTATGTTTGCTGTGTTGGGTGGAGGAGAGTTTACGACACACATTTTACTTTCGCGATCTGACCCAAAAAAAATATCTTCTGAATCATGTTGATCTTAGTCACGTTCTATGACTGCCCTAGCTCTAAAAATATCTTCAACTGTTTGTAAAATTTGCTGTTCATGACATTGGATATTTATGAAGCTATTTAATTATTTCCCATAGTTCATCGCCATTGGTTGTTAAAGTTACAATCTCATCAGCAAATCTTGTTCATATTGTGAATGTTTTCTCCATTAATGCTTATGCCTTTATTTCTCCAATTCATTGTTTTCCCTTGAAAAACATATTCTAATGTTGCTGTAACTAACGTTGTACCTTTAACTGTCTCTGTGACTGTGAAAAACTTTGAATGAATCAAATTGGCTTGGGCGGGACGCATTCTTAGAAGGGTGCCGGCTGGTGGTCGTGGCGGACGACATAGCATGCCCTAGAGTACAACGACCGTGGAGATGGAGAGATGAGATCTACTTGTGTGCAGAATCTAGCTACATTGTTGCATTGTCATATCACGAGGGATCGTGTCAGCAGTGGATAGGCCATGGCTGATGATGGTGATCATGATGAGGCTCCATGGCAAAACAATTATTATCGTGCGACTCGAACTTAATTTGACAGTAAACAATACACACAATCGTTTTTAATGATTTTAAGCAAATTTAATTCCGACATCAATTATCATGCGTACGATATAAAAAAAGAAATCGTGAAAACAAGAAACTGTACCCTTTGGTTCTTTCGGTAAAATCACGTAGAAAAATAATATTATTTTATATTATTTTATTTTATTATTTATCTACGTGACTATACCGAAAAAACCAAAGAGTGATTCCTGCAGTTACGAAAGCTTCAAATCAACAAGAAACTGCATCTATGATAATTGTTTTTTTACCCTTTTATCTGGCAACAAAACTGACACCTTTTTTACAAGGAGTCATGTTTGCATTGACCACAATACCTGCAGTCGGACGGGTGTATATTGCAGTAAATCTGAAATATTCAATAGAAAAATTGTTCAGCTCATGATTATTAATGCGGGGTGGGGGGGGGGTGTCCCATGTGGAGCGACGTCACCAGCTAATGGTTATTGGGGAGGGGTGCGGCATGTGGAGTGCGCGACCTTGTGCGTTTGTGTAAATTTCCACGCGGACATGAATATTAATGAAGGGGGGGGGCTCATTTTTCAGTGGCATCACGCACGGATGTAGCACTGTGCTGCGTAGATGTATTTTTTACCGTCACTTTCTGAAGCGACTTTGCATAATAAATTATTGAATTCAATTCGACCTTCCTCTGCGTTCGTGTAACAATCCACCCATTTATGAATATTAATGAGGGGGGCATCATGTTGAGTCACGCGCGGGACGGACAGACATTTCTGGGTGATTATAGGAGGTAATAAGGTGGCCTGGTAGCTCAGGGGGTGGAGGGCAGAGCCAGTATCACTGAGATCCTGCATTGCCACCCATAAATAAACGATATTATGAAGTATAGTTAGTTTAAAGTCTCAACCATTGACTTCAACATCACATGACAAACAAAATTGTACAGTATTCAGGGCATTATACTTAGGTGGCAGTTATGGTGCTCAAAGTCGACCAGTGGGAGGATATGTGTGTGATTATGTATGCGTGTTCTTTTTTTTACTTCAGCTTTTCTTAAACACCGGAAAACTGGTTTAAATGACTTCACGCAAAAAGTGGTGTCAAACCCCGGCATGTGTCAAACGTAAGTAGAATGCGTGTGTGTTTTAACAGGCAATTTGTATGTTTTTTTGGTTATATAATCTCACGTCTTGAGTTTACGTCTCATTACTGGACATGCAATTTTATCACAAGATGCATTATATCTGATAGTTGAACTTCAACGTAGTATCATTACGCGTTTGTAGTTCTTGGACCTAGTGAACACGGTGCAAGAGAGGAGATCAAAAACTAAAATTGATTCTGCGTCTTATGCCGTGAAGGCTAAAATTGTGATAGCAGATTTAAAGAAAGAAAAAAAACACTTTAAATGCCTCACTATTTCATATAAATAAAGAGGTATGTTTATACAGCACATTATCCGCGCGTTGGGACTTGGGTGACGTTAAAGATTGTTGTGTCAACTGAATGTGACACGCAGCCCCAAGGAATGTTGGCGAGGGCCACGTACCCACACCCGTATCAGCCAAATCCACATGCGTGCATGCACAGAGGCTACTCGGTTCAATAATTATTTTATAAGTCACCGGAGCTATTAAAAAGCATTGCTAAACATAAGTTCCGATTATTGCATTGATTGCCCAGTGTGGTTTGCTTATTATGAGTAGAGTATAATATTCACTATAGTGTATATGCAGGACATATTACACATGTGTGGGTGGTGGGCGCACTGGTGCTGCAATGGTTAGCACACGAGAATGAACCTTGCGACCTGAATTAAATCCGTAACCACGTGGATAACATCAATGGAATACTGATGTCCTGGGCCACCTCTAAGCCAACTCAGCTTGAAACGAGTGCCTGGTGTGGTACATGAAGATATTCACAGTGCAGATAGAGGTGGCCGGAGTGGTTCTGGCCACACCACCCGTTGAAGCGTCGTGTCAGCCTTAATACGGGGTGTTTCAAAAAGATGGACCCAATTTCAAGTAGTCCTAACAGTCTATAAGTCTAAATTGGGAATTTGTATATTGTGTGGTTGTGTGGTATATATACGTGGGGTTAATCTTACACTGTCTAATAATATAATGTTAAACAAATTGTTTACAGCCCTTTGTAAATCCACTGCTGCATGTCGTTTCGGGTATGGGGGCTTTTTGACCATACTTCACCACGCTGGTCAGTGCGTGTTGATAAAGAGGGGGGGGCAGGCAGGGTCCAAAACCAGTTCAGATGTCACTCTCCACTGATGTTAGGTGTGACCAGGACTTTAACTCAGATTACTGAGTTCATCACTGCGTGAATCACTACACCGATGCTTGTTACATAATGTTATGTGATATGTTATCTATATTTATCATGATGAGCAGGATTGGAAGAGTTTATGTGTGTGTGCTTAAATGTGTTGTGCAGTCCAGACGTACGGAAATTCCTCCAACTTGATAACCCCCGGAACCAGACACAGGAGCCGATGGCTGATGAAGACCACATAAACATGGTATTGATTTATTACGTTCCACAATCGAAATACGACACTTATATGCGGTAGGATTACTCTCATCCGCAGCCCTATTACCCTCGACTTCTATTATCTTGACCATCCCTTTTCCCAGCATTCATTTCAGGAAAATATTAGCCGCAAATTCTGAATTGAATAATTTCACAAGTACATTTGTGGATAATATGATTTTCAAAGTTTTAACTCCCACGTCACTGCAGATAAGAGGAGTTCTTCTGAAGCAGTGTAAATAAACTTGGATTTGATGTTTCACACAAGCAATGCCGAAACCGGAGGCAAATCCAGTGGTTCTGTCAAATCCTGTACGTTGATAATAATCTAAAATAAGCGCTTTATATTCTTATATTAAAATCGACTAGAATTTTACTAAAATTATGGCTTCGAAAGCAGTAAGACAGCAGATTGTAGCAAGGAAACACACTTCTGAATGTACGTGTTTTCGAGTGTTCCGTGGCTGGTAGATACAGTATATGAATTGTTGGCGTGCCTATAAAGAAAGCAGACAAGAGGGATTGTTTGGACAAAGAAGCAGAGGCAGATGAAATAACACCTCAACTGCACATAGGACCCGATCACTCAAACTTATCTGGGTTTCTTGTGCCATGGGTTTGGACACCAGCGCACCCCTTTGCTTGGAACACTTTCCACTACGGTGAAATATTTGCTAAGGAGCGATCGTTTTTACCCATATACCTGTGCCAAAGCCCAGGTTGTCCTTGCAACCGGCGGCGCTGTCGATTTCCCACCTATCATTACAATTGCACACGGTGTAACTCACTTCATCAACCCTGATAAGATGAGACTTATGATAATGATGATGACACTGATAATGGGATTAATTTGCCACAGATGTGGGTTTGAATGAATTACTTTGCAATCACCACACTAGTGCTCTGTTATGTAAGAACTATATATCGTTCTTAAAGCTACATATATATTTATTTTCACAGAATGATGCAGACCACATAAACTTGGGGCCCTCTGCAAATCTACAGTAAGTGCACAAACAGCCGTATTATGCTTGGCTTAGCAATTACTCGGTGACATAACGGCAGCTGGTAGTGAGTGGTTTTAATCCATTATTCTATAACACTTTTCTCAGAGTTAAGAGTCAATACCAACCACAAGCCAATATTGTCACGGTCTGTTTCTAAAGTGCTCCGTCAGTTGTGAAGTTGTAATTGTATACACTGTGACATCATCTGCAAGAGTAAGCCATTATATGCTAACATGTCCCATGCTTTGTAGAACGTATAAGTAGATGTCTCCACCAAGGTTTCAGCTATTTGGCTGGTGACAGAATCATGCAGACGTCTTCCTTGTTTTTTCTCACCACAGGGCAAAGCCGTCGGACTTTGATTTTCTAACCATCCTTGGAAAGGGCAGTTTTGGAAAGGTACATCCTATAATGTAAACGATAATCTGCGTACAATCCATTAGTGTCTTTGGTATTCCATGTATTTATTAATATTGCTCAGTTGTGTATTCTACTTTAATGTTTTCTAACTCAGGTTGAAAGCATTGATGAGCTCTGTCTGCAGCAGGTCAGGCTAACTATTGTAGAGGTCATCCAATGCAAATTGCATTTCGGTATAAAGTTGTGCTCCGAGTACGACTTACCCTGTTGAAAACTGGCCAAATTGATCAAAAAGATGCCCAAAACTTGGCGATAAAAAACGAGCGCTAAATGGATAAGGCCCCCCGGGGCAAAGTCCATGACATCATACACCATGCTAATGCATAACGTCGTCATGACATTGTGCGACTAGGACGGTAATGTTATTATCGCAAATTAAACACCTTCGAGGACAAACACACGTTGGAAAGTGATACAGAATCCATTCATGTGCATTGTTTTTCTGTGTATTACTTTGCACGTGTGCTGCAATCGCATGTAATTTGATAATCACTCCAGGACACCTGTACAAATTTTACATGTATTTGATAGGTATTTTTTTTTTTATCTAAATAGATATATACATGGACAATTGTGGTGTGTGTGCATTTGGAACAGTGCCCACCAACAGGACACAGGGCAGTCACATCATATGAGATGCCACGGGTAGTAGCTCATTGTGCTGCTGCTGATGATGAAAAACTTGCACACACACACACACAGTCCCCCTGCTTAACCTCCTTCCGTTTGTCTTTTAAAAGCTCAGCTCTTCTCTTTTGCCCATTCCCTTCCTCTTCCCTCCCATCGTCCCTCCACTCCTTCCCGTACCTCCCCCACCCCTTCGTGATCCCTAAGTACCCTCTATCGCGGTCACTCATTACTCAATCTTTGGATGTCCCTGTCATCATAAGCATTCTTCTGTTACCGTTTATTTTTTAAACGATGTCAAGCGCCTTGAGTTTAGGCGCTCTATACATGTAAAATAAGATGGGAAATATGGGCTGCATACTGAAATAATGACGCACACACACACACTCATACATACCAACACATCAAGATTCAAGTGTGTTTGTGTAACCAGGTGAGAACTAAAGAGACCAGGATGACTCATTTGCAAGAGTGAACTGGGTGACCAAAATTATGAAAGCAAAAACAAATAAACGAAACACAGCAACGAAATAGATGAATACATTGCAATGTATGTTGTTCACAGGTTCTGCTTGCAAAACACAAGAGCGATGGGATATTCTATGCTGTAAAAGTGATGAAAAAGTCAATAATACTGCAAAAGAAGGAGGTAATACTTTAAATTATTTTAATGAGCTCTCGCACACATGCTCAAATCTAAGTGCAAATCCCATTGCATCATACAAAACAAAATGTCCTATTGAATCTTTTTTTAAAAGCCACCATTCCGGCTCTTTTGTGCTGGTGGCCATCGTAAGGTTATATTCCGAACAGGCACAACAATAGTGATGTCATCATGCAGAAGTACGCTGGGATTCCTGTTTGGTTTTCAATTTAAGACGTATTTTTACGTGTGGTAATATAAATGTGGAACACTGAAATTGCACCGCTCACACCACTGCTGCCGGAAGCGTGTCCACTCGAGGGAGGTTTAGGAAATTAGCCATTCTCATTAGTGCACCGGGAAAGAGACCGTGCAACCTCTGGATTGCACATCCAGTTTGTGACAATTTCATGATGGCTGCATACCATTTGCGTAAGTATTATTAGTAAATTGAACTTCTTTAAACGTGTGTGTGTGCGCGCATGATAGTGAGGAGCGTTAGTGTCGCGGTAAGTACGAATTTGGTGACCCGAGTTTGATTGCCGCTCACGGCCAACACCAGTGACGAATATCTGAACCGGTCCTGGGCCTCCCCTAGGTCTACTCAACCTCAAATGAGTACCTGGTGCGGTGTGTAAATGTTGGTTGGGGTGCTGGCCACCCACCCCATCGTGTGCCGTGCCGGTCTTCATAGACACTCGCTAACAGCACTTTCACCAACAGTCTGTTAATGCTATATGGGGAAGCTTTGCCTTTGCATGATTGTGTCCTGCTGCTATACTGCTGCTACTAGGAGAAGCACATCATGGCAGAGAGAAATGTTCTGGTGAAGAACGTGCGTCATCCTTTCCTGGTGGGCCTGCACTACTCGTTCCAGTCGGCAGACAAATTGTACTTTGTCATGGATTATGTCAACGGTGGTGAGGTGGGTACGAGGCATGTAGTGGTCCATCAAATCTTCAATTAAAATCAATTCTAAAAACTCCTGATTATCTAACCAAAATAGTACGTATATGAATCGAATGCAGTGTTTATGATTTACGTGGATTATGTACAACCGTCATGTTTATTGGACAGGTGGCTCAGTTCACATCGAGTGAGTGGCTTGCAATCGGAAGGTTGAGAGTTCATATCCTTTCTTAATGCAGCCCATCGTCCTTCCAGGGTTGATAAAATAAACACAACTTTGTCAGGAATGAGCAGTGGCCGTCGAATGGATGGACTCGGCCATGTCATATCAAATGGAATTTCCACCACTGGCTAAGAGCTGTGTACAGCATATTAACACTTTCTCAATGCTCATTTGAGGAGGAAATCACCTTGCCATTTTTTTAGTTATGATTAGACTGATGAAACAAATTCAACAGAAGAAACAGGATATACATGTTCATCATGAACCAGAATCGAATCACAATTCGTCTGCAGTTTCAGCCTTTAAATCTCACTGCAATGTCTCTGTTTTCACTTTACAAAATCATTACTGCGGTATATATGTATGCGCTGCACAATGAACCCAGTTTGGTTCCTGGCTATGGCGAGTTATACCTGAACCGGACCTCAGTCCCCCCTTAACCAACCCACATTGACCAGCGTGGTAGAGTATGGTCAAACAACTCTCATGGCTGACACGGTGAAGGGAGACATTCATCCAACACTGGATTAACAAAGGATTGTATTTTTTTTTTTATTGTTGATCAGTATACTTCATATACTGAACTTAAAATAAAATGTCACAAAAAATGATGCAGTTTTTTGTTCATGTGTATGCAGTTAATTTGCTTTACCAGCCTGTGACTTAACTCAGTGATGCAGTGGTTTGTGCACCACACTGCATTACCAGCATCCCGTGTTTAACTTATGGTTAAGTGTAATTCTCGTGGTACTGGCTGGCTAAACATTGGTGTGGGCCTCTTAAATATCAATTGCCACTGAAATGAATACCTGCAATGGCATGTAAACTCGAGCAGTGTTGAGACAAAAGCAACTGGGTGTCTTGTCTTTTTCAGACACAATTGATGCTCACTAACAGCCTGGAGTCTGTCGAGGCTGAACAGATGATCTTTCACCTTGTGTGTGTTTGTGTGTGTGCTGGCAGCTGTTTTTCCACTTACAGAGACAGGGAAGTTTCCCAGAATCTCGTGCACAGTTTTACGCTGCCGAGATTGGCAGCGCAATTGGATATCTCCACTCCCTGAACATTGTGTACAGGTAACCACGTAACACACCTTCACCCAGTCCATAATCACATCAACCCCTATCATCGTTGTCGTCGTCGTCATCATAACGTCATTATCACCACCATCGTTATCAGTTTGAGGTGACTGTGTGGGTCATGGAGCCCCAACGCTGTTCCTCCATCAAACAACCAGAGTTTGTTGCTGCTGGGAAACTGGTTTTGATTACTTGAGACATCAAAAATCAAGTCATCTTGTGGACCCAGCTTCTTATGTGCAGGGCATAGGTGCACCTCTGCAATTTCTTTCCTACGTCATTGATAGTGGAAAGAGCCCCATCTCGAGGGTATTTTGGTCTACTCTTCCACGCTGGCCGGGCACGTTGCAGGAGATGGGGATACCCACACATTGCCCGCGACATGCGGCCTGCCAACCGACTAACTGGTGGTGAACCCGTTTAGTCTGCTGGGTGGACAGAGCTCCGAGGGGGGAGTTTAAGAAACTCGCACGATCGTTTCGAATGCTGTGCTAGGACACCGAATACAGCCGTCGACTACTGGAATGCAAAGTTTAGTGCGCTTACCATGACACAAAGCGTCTCGGCTTTCTCGTACAGTAATACCTCCATATGCGTACATTCGATAAATGAAGTTTCGGTGAAAGAAACTTTTAATTAATTACGATTATTTTACACGTAAAACGAAAACTAAAGTTAAATAATAAATGCACTGACATGGATAAAACATAAATTTATAGATCGACAGTACTAAATAAGAATTAAATTATAATAAGATGGATTGAGTACACTGTTTTTTAATGTAATTTTTATTAAATGTTTATACTTTATCGTATAGAATATATTTCTTTCAATATAAATGGTCTTTGTTTACAATATGAATGCTAAGTTATGAAGTATTAATAGTATGAAATGGTAAGTTATGAAGGCTGGGAACGCATCTTTTATAGTACTAATATTATAAGTTACTCAGAATACGAAGTTTTAGAATGAAGCTCCAGGAACACATCCACTTCTTATACCGAGGTATTACTGTATCATTCCAAAATTCCAGAAATACCAATCAACATAGCCCGTCATAGCCACAAGGTGGCACTGCCTGTGGTCTGTGAGGATTAAACAGTGCTTTGCTCTTTGTCTTTTTACAAACACACGCGAATCATTCATCGCTCGTATGTATTTAACTGAGTACACAAATGTAATTAATCTAAATGCAATTTTTTTTTCATGGGTATATACATAATTTCTTTCATTTATTTGGCGACCAGGCTGAGGCTGTCATACTCGCTACACAGCGCAAATCACCTGTTCTGTCTCTGGCATTTGCTTGGGGCTTCAACCCAAGACCCGCCTCCTGCTGCTTGTAAAGAACAGGGTCGAACAGCCCCCTTAAACGTTTACTGCCACGAGTGCTAATCTCGGCAATCGCGTAACCCCGGCTCCCTGGGGCAGGTTTTTATGCTGATAGCTAAGATCACATACATAGCCTCTGCCAGTTTTTTTTTCACATGGAATGCTGGCCAAACCTGTCCTGATTGGAGGCAGTCCAGGAACAAGTAACAGACATCTTCGTGGGGTTTTATTTTTTTGCGCTAAAAATTTCTGCCCGCATGCTTTGCATGTGGCATGTAGTCAGCAGCATCGTGCGTGTGTGAGCACACGGGGGGGGGGGGGGCTCGTTTTACACCAAGCGTGGCTTTCAGAGTTGAATGCAGTGCAAGTCTGTGCCGCATTCAAACTCTGAAAGCAACGCTTTGCGTGCAATGAGCCCACGTGATCAGGTGTTCACGTAACCTACGATGTTCCATTTTTTACAAATTATAATGATTTAGTGATACTACGTTGGCAGTGTGTTGCACAAGTACAAATACCAAGAACAAAAACACATTTGTCAAAAACACTGCCTTAAAAGGAAAACTTACATAACATAGGCACCTGGCCTTCTACACAGCATTTGTGAATAAAAATATGTTGTTTAACTTTTTAATATAATCAGGTGAGAGTCTATTGAGCTCCACTATTCGAAAAACGTGATGTTGGGTGACAATTACTGTGAATCATAATTTAGTATAAAGTGCAATGGGTGTAACAAGCCATCGATTAATATGAATGATTAAACTCGTAATATGTGCTGCGACGCACGTGTGTGGAAATTGACGTTTCTCTATTCGTATATATAGTGGCCGCCACTTTCATCATGTCAAAAACATTGTTTCTTTGATCACAATCCAGAATTGTGACAGTTTCTGAAATCGCTGGGCAATGGTAATCATTATTACCCTTGCACAGCCACTGTCATCATTCACAAACATTTCTTATAACTGGCCCATGCAACAACAATAAAAAAAAGTAGCTTGAATTTTCCCCGCAGTAATTATGCGGTTAGCATGTGTGTTGTCGATAATAACAGTGTTTAAGTACTATCAGCCCGTAGCGGCAGGTGATTTAATAATTTTGGGCGTGTGTTATTGATTACAACATAACGTTTTCAGTTACTGCAAGAAATAGGTGTGTAAGATGAAACCACCCCCTTGTGATTTGGTGTAATTGTGGTGATTCAGGATCACGCATCGATCCAAGAATAATTATTTTGCCAATTGTGGTACGTTCAGTGCCTGTAGCGGCTACAGAGTTTACATTAACCAAATTAGAAACAACATTTCCATGTTTTAAATACAAATTTAGAACCATTTGTCAATCCACTGCTGGATGAGGGCCTCGTCACACCCTGACATTTGGGTTTTGACTGTGCTTCACCACACTAGCCAGAGTGGGTTGGTGAAGGGGGGATGCTCAAAATCAGTTCAGATATCACTTGCCACTGATGTTAGCCGTGGCAAATAATCAAAGTCAGGTAATGAGGTTCAACTCTGAATGTCTAATTATCAGCCACGTTCCATCTACTGCTAGAAGAAGCTTCCACCATCTCTCATGGTCTTGCGATTGCCATGCAACAAGTCCATCTAGTTCCTGCAAACACGATTTGATTCATCACTCCGTTTCTGCAGTGGACTTCCTTTTGGGCTTGTTCCCTCCTTTAGCTGACATTCTGACATCTACGAACCAAACACGATCGACTCTTCTCTGCACAATGCAATACGTAGATTTGTATGGAGAGTGCAAGAACTAATGTGAATCGATGCATAGCTACTTGCCTTATCATGAGTAGCTTAATTTGAAGCTTTCGTGACTGCAGGAATCCATACTCTTTGGTTCTTTCGGTAAAATAAAAATAAAAAATAAAATTATTTGATTTTATACCTACGTGACTTTACCGAAAGAACCAAAGAGTATGAGTAGCTTAGTTTGATGCCATATCTATTTCGCTGGGTTCCCTGGACAGCATGTGATGGGCACTGTCGTGTGAAGGAAGTCAAGTCCGTATATTTACGTTGTTAGACTTTGACTTTTTTACAATACATTACAATTGTCTGCTTTTGTTTTGTAAGGGACTTGAAGCCAGAAAATATCCTCTTGGACTTCCAGGTAAATGGCATTCTCCGCACCATACGTTGCCAACCGTGCTGTGATGTTGAATTGTTTTTGCACCATACGTAGCTAACCGCGCTAATGGGAGGTGCTATCTATATATATAAAATCGTTCATGTCTGTCTGTCTGTGTGTGTGTGTGTGGACTTTGGCCCATACGCACTTTCATTGGACGGCGGTTGCCCCTGGCAACGGCTAGCCACGCCTTCGCCGCTTTCATTGGACCTGGCAACGGCTAGCCACGCCTTCGCCAAGGGCTGCAGTTTCATTGGACGGCGGTTGCCTCTGCCAACGGCTAGCCACGCCTTCGCCACTTTCATAAGCTCCGTATTTAATTAAATAATAGCCATTACACAGTATTGTTGGAGCGCTAGGGGGGGGGAAGGAACGCCACCCGTACCCTGCCTCTTCCAAGCCGACAATTTTAGGCGAGGCCGCAGGCTTTGCACGCTACTAGGCCTCGACACCCCCCACGCCACTCTGAGGTAAATTCATCAAAGTTTTTCCTACTCTTCACTACACCCCCACCACAATGTGTGCTATTAATATTACTTTTAAACCCAACGCGCCAACAATCGATTACTTTAATGTTCACTGTACAAATACTCATTAAGCTGGGTGAGCGTACTGCCAGTCTATCATGTACACTGTAGCCTGCTTATTAAGCTCGGTGAGCGTACTGCCACTCTATCATGTACACTCTAGCCTGCTTATGAAGCTGAGTGCGTGAACTGGCAGTCTATAATGTGGACTCTTGCCTGGTTATTATAATCGATTCTTTATATGTTCTTTGTACAAACAGTCATTAAGCTGCTTGAGCGACCCCAGTTCGATTCCAACTCACGCCCACCACCGCTGACGATTATTTGAAACGGACCTGGCCCTCCCCTAGGTCCACTCAGCCTCAAAAGCGTAACTGCTGTCGTGTGTGAACATCGTCACTGGGGAGACAAAGGCGGCGGGGCATCGTGGATCCAAGTCCCGGGCGAAGCCGGGTCATGTGTATGTGTGTTTGTGTTTATGTGTATGTCTGTGTGTCTCTATGTATGTGTGTATGTATGTGTATGTATGTGTTTGTGTGTGTGTGTGTATGTATGTGGGTTTTTTTTATGTCTTTATGTGTATGTCTGCGTGTCTCTATGTATGTGTGTATGTACGTGTGTGCATGTGTTTGTGTGTATGTATGTGTGTGTCTATGTATGTGTGTGTCTATGTATGTGTGTGTATGTGTGTGTATGTATGTGTGTTATGTGTCTGTCTGTGTCTGCATGTATGTGTGTGTGTATTGTGTATGTGTTTGTGTGCATGTATGTGTGTGTTTGTGTGTATGTGTATGTATGTGTGTATGTGTTTGTGTGTATGTGTGTGTATGTATGTGTGTGTATGTGTTTGTATGTGTTTGTGTGTTTACGCTCGCATTACACAAATGTGTTGCTGGTCTAAGGCGTTCCTCGCACAGCATTGCCGCTTTATTATTTCAGTCGTTTACTGCCTTACGCACCCTGAAAGTCGTGTGTGTCTGCAGCAAGCGCGTGTATGTGTACCTATGGACGCGCGCGCGTGTGTTGTGTAGGGGGAACGGTAGTGTAGTGCTTAGCGTGCTGTCTGTGTCTGTGTGTGTGTGTGTCTGTCTGTGTCTGTCTGTGTGTGTCTGCGTGTGTCTGTGTGTGTGTCTGTGTGTGTGCGTGTGTGGTGTGTGGGGAGCGGTAGTGTAGTGCTTAGCGTGCTGTCTGTGTGTCTGTGTGTGTGTGTGTCTGTCTGTGTCTGTCTGTGTGTGTCTGCGTGTGTCTGTGTGTGTGTCTGTGCGTGTGTGGTGTGTGAGGAGCGGTGGGTGTAGTGCTTAACGCTACGCTGCGCTACCAACCCGGCGAACCCAGTTCCATTCCCGCTCACGGCCACCACCGGTGACGATTATTTGAACCTCCCCTAGGTCCACTCAGCCTCAAACGAGTAACTGGTGTGGCGTATTAACATCTGTCTGTGTGTCTGTATGCATGTGTGTTTGTATGTGTGTGTATGTGTTTGTGTGTATGTCTGTGTGTGTATGTATGTCGGTTTTGCCGCCGTGGTGGATCCAAGTCCCGGGCGAAGCCGGGTCATGTGTATGTGTGTATGTGTTTATGTGTATGTCTGTGTGTCTGTATGCATGTGTGTATGTATGTGTGTGCATGTGTTTGTGTGTATGTATGTGTGTGTGTATGTATGTGGGTTTTTTTGTATGTGTTTATGTGTATGTCTGCGTGCCTGTATGTATGTGTGTATGTACGTCTGTGGATGTGTTCGTGTGTATGTATGTGTGTGTCTATGTATGTGTGTGTATGTGTTTCTGTGTTTGTATGTGTGTGTATGTATGTGTGTTATGTGTCTGTCTGTGTGTCTGCATGTATGTGTGTGTGTATTGTGTATGTGTTTGTGTGTGTTTGTGTGTTTACGCTCGCATTACACAAATGTATAATGCGGGTCTAAGGCGTTCCTTACACAGCATTGCCGCTTTATTATTTCAGTCGTTTACTGCCGTATGCACCCTGAAAGTCGTGTGTGTCTGCAGCAAGCGCGTGTATGTGTACCTATGGACGCGCGCGCGTGTGTTGTGTAGGGGGAACGGTAGTGTAGTGCTTAGCGTGCTGCCTGTGTGTGTGTGTCTGTGTGTGTGTGTCTGTGTGTGTGTCTGTGTGTGTGTCTGTGTGTGTGCGTGTGTGGTGTGTGGGGAGCGGTAGTGTAGTGGTTAGCGTGCTGTCTGTGTGTGTGTTTCTGTCTGTGTGTGTCTGCGTGTGTCTGTGTGTGTGTCTGTGCGTGTGTGGTGTGTGAGGAGCGGTGGGTGTAGTGCTTAACGCTACGCTGCGCTACCAACCCGGCAAACCCAGTTCGATTCCCGCTCACGGCCACCACCGGTGACGATTATTTGAACCTCCCCTAGGTCGACTCTGCCTCAAACGAGTAACTTAACTACTGTAGCGTATTAACATCGGCACTTGGGAGACAAAGGCGGCTGGGCGTGGTAGATCCAAGTCCCGGGCGAAGCCGGGTCATGTGTATGTGTTTATGTGTATGTCTGTGTGTCTGTATGCATGTGTGTTTGTATGTGTGTGTATGTGTTTGTGTGTATGTCTGTGTGTGTATGTATGTCGGTTTTGCCGCCGTGGTGGATCCAAGTCCCGGGCGAAGCCGGGTCATGTGTATGTGTGTATGTGTTTATGTGTATGTCTGTGTGTCTGTATGCATGTGTGTATGTATGTGTGTGCATGTGTTTGTGTGTATGTATGTGTGTGTGTATGTATGTGGGTTTTTTTGTATGTGTTTATGTGTATGTCTGCGTGCCTGTATGTATGTGTGTATGTACGTCTGTGGATGTGTTCGTGTGTATGTATGTGTGTGTCTATGTATGTGTGTGTATGTGTTTCTGTGTTTGTATGTGTGTGTATGTATGTGTGTTATGTGTCTGTCTGTGTGTCTGCATGTATGTGTGTGTGTATTGTGTATGTGTTTGTGTGTGTTTGTGTGTTTACGCTCGCATTACACAAATGTATAATGCGGGTCTAAGGCGTTCCTTACACAGCATTGCCGCTTTATTATTTCAGTCGTTTACTGCCGTATGCACCCTGAAAGTCGTGTGTGTCTGCAGCAAGCGCGTGTATGTGTACCTATGGACGCGCGCGCGTGTGTTGTGTAGGGGGAACGGTAGTGTAGTGCTTAGCGTGCTGCCTGTGTGTGTGTGTCTGTGTGTGTGTGTCTGTGTGTGTGTCTGTGTGTGTGTCTGTGTGTGTGCGTGTGTGGTGTGTGGGGAGCGGTAGTGTAGTGGTTAGCGTGCTGTCTGTGTGTGTGTTTCTGTCTGTGTGTGTCTGCGTGTGTCTGTGTGTGTGTCTGTGCGTGTGTGGTGTGTGAGGAGCGGTGGGTGTAGTGCTTAACGCTACGCTGCGCTACCAACCCGGCAAACCCAGTTCGATTCCCGCTCACGGCCACCACCGGTGACGATTATTTGAACCTCCCCTAGGTCGACTCTGCCTCAAACGAGTAACTTAACTACTGTAGCGTATTAACATCGGCACTTGGGAGACAAAGGCGGCTGGGCGTGGTAGATCCAAGTCCCGGGCGAAGCCGGGTCATGTGTATGTGTTTATGTGTATGTCTGTGTGTCTGTATGCATGTGTGTTTGTATGTGTGTGTATGTGTTTGTGTGTATGTCTGTGTGTGTATGTATGTCGGTTTTGCCGCCGTGGTGGATCCAAGTCCCGGGCGAAGCCGGGTCATGTGTATGTGTGTATGTGTTTATGTGTATGTCTGTGTGTCTGTATGCATGTGTGTATGTATGTGTGTGCATGTGTTTGTGTGTATGTATGTGTGTGTGTATGTATGTGGGTTTTTTTGTATGTGTTTATGTGTATGTCTGCGTGCCTGTATGTATGTGTGTATGTACGTCTGTGGATGTGTTCGTGTGTATGTATGTGTGTGTCTATGTATGTGTGTGTATGTGTTTCTGTGTTTGTATGTGTGTGTATGTATGTGTGTTATGTGTCTGTCTGTGTGTCTGCATGTATGTGTGTGTGTATTGTGTATGTGTTTGTGTGTGTTTGTGTGTTTACGCTCGCATTACACAAATGTATAATGCGGGTCTAAGGCGTTCCTTACACAGCATTGCCGCTTTATTATTTCAGTCGTTTACTGCCGTATGCACCCTGAAAGTCGTGTGTGTCTGCAGCAAGCGCGTGTATGTGTACCTATGGACGCGCGCGCGTGTGTTGTGTAGGGGGAACGGTAGTGTAGTGCTTAGCGTGCTGCCTGTGTGTGTGTGTCTGTGTGTGTGTGTCTGTGTGTGTGTCTGTGTGTGTGTCTGTGTGTGTGCGTGTGTGGTGTGTGGGGAGCGGTAGTGTAGTGGTTAGCGTGCTGTCTGTGTGTGTGTTTCTGTCTGTGTGTGTCTGCGTGTGTCTGTGTGTGTGTCTGTGCGTGTGTGGTGTGTGAGGAGCGGTGGGTGTAGTGCTTAACGCTACGCTGCGCTACCAACCCGGCAAACCCAGTTCGATTCCCGCTCACGGCCACCACCGGTGACGATTATTTGAACCTCCCCTAGGTCGACTGCCTCAAACGAGTAACTTAACTACTGTAGCGTATTAACATCGCCACTGGGGAGACAAAGGCGGCCGGCCGTGGTAGATACAAGTCCCGGGCGAAGCCGGGTAGTACAGCTAGTTATCTATATGATCACCATTTTGCCACATTGCATTTGCCTAAACAAGTGAACGCCAGTAAATGAATTACATACATGCTTTGTATGACTATGTGTAACCCACCAATAGGAGTTCATGTAACTAGAATTTCGGCAGCCTATGTATGGCCTATGCCCGACGAAATTCTAACTGCGTCCTGTGCTTTGTCAGCTGTGACAATGCGTTTACATTTAGTTATCCCTTCTTCCGCTATCTTGAGATATTCATCTTCCCATAATGTCCCGGGGTTTGTTTTTGTTTTACCAACAGAGGTGGTGACCCTGTTTTGTATTACACATATCATTAATTCGTCAATCAATTCAAATAGATTGTTTACGCAAGCTATATGCATCGAATGTTGGGTGTAAAAATACATTTTTCATATTGATTCGTGCAGCTTTAGCTATTGGAGGGGAAAAGGCTCTACAAACAAGACGCAATGTAAACCAAAGAATAAAAACTTGACTAAATATATTATTCATTCGAATCATAACTTTGAATAAATTAACTTAAAATATTATAAAAGTATGCATATATAATCGTGACATTTTCCATGCAGTTTATTTATTGTATAATCATAAGTGTTCTGTCTCATGGGGCCTTTTTGCCAGTTTCAAAGTAAGAAAAATAATTATTCTTTGGGTCTTTCGGTAAAGCCACGTAGATAGAAAAAATAAGACGAGGTTTTACCTTTTCTGGCAATAAAACGTCTGCAATTACCACACGTACTTGTGGTGAACATGCAAACAAACATGCTCCAATAATTAATGTATTGTCTTTTAAACTTATTGTTTGAAAGGGTAAAACCTGTTCTTATTTTTTTATTAAAGTTTCTTATTGTACGTTGCTACTTTAATGCATTTTATGCTGCATACTGCGTTTTTTTTCTTCTAAATTAATTTAAGTTTTCTGCTATGGGCATAATGTCAGGAGATGACCACTATTTCGAAATCTCACAGAGAGGATAACCTCGTGTGTCAGGGAACGGTCCAAGGAAAAAAGGATTTTCGCAGACTTTCCAAAAATAACCTAAATTTGGCCTTTTAGTCTTTACACAGTAGGGGGCACACTTCCCCATGTGTTCTGGCACATGAAAGCGCTGGAATTTAGCCAAATCAAGTGGAAAAACCCGAACTCAATTTGGTGGGGTTTTTCCTGTGCATCCATTGTGACTGGGGGCCGTGATACACTCGACCGCGCCGGTTGGGGACGCGGTTTTATCACGGGCAGCCTCCCAGATTCAAAACCCGAATCTCAGTCGTGCCAGCTCAGCGCTCTGGCCTCTGAGCTACCCGGTTACCTCCACAATTTAAACTCATTTGGTTTCTCACAAAAATGTGAGCCAGGCACATGGTGGTGCCATGGGTGGAAAAAACTCGATTTTTCCAGCGGCAGGCATCGGATTTTTTTCTTTAATACAAATAAACCCGATTTCGGGGAATCAAAACCTGGTTGAATGAATACGAAAGTCTGATAGGTTTAGGCTGCTTCCTCGTCGGTGCTGCTATCGTACGCGGGGCCGTCAGGCACGGGGTAGTCGTAGAATGCGGCCAGGTTGGGCTTGATGAACATGAGCTTCTCCACAATCGTGGGCGCCAGTGAGTTCCTTAGCTTGGAATGGATGAAGCCCATCGTTGAGAAGTTGGCAAAGTGCGGTTCTGCAATTAGAACCAATTGAACCGGATTTCTCCCAATCTCAGATGATCGGGTTTAATATAAAAAGACAATTAAACCAGATTGTAAAAAACCTGACTGTGCCACCCTTGGGTGGTGCACTTTTAAGAGGCGAGCATTGGTAGCTCACACAAGTTTGTGAAACTACGAAACCCATTGACTGAGCTTATGTGGCCAGAAGATGGCAGTACTGCACGTAGATTGGACCCATATGTTGTGGACCTTCGAGTGTTATTCCCGCAGATGTTTATCATTTGTTATCCTTTCGTATATTCTCCAGACATTCCAGTGTTCTCCCATTAGCCAAACGCTATTTAGCCAATCGTTCCGATGTATGAACCACCTGAAAAATTGTCCTAAGACTCAGTGATGCATTTCTGGACAAGGGAAGGTGGGTCATTATAAGTAGTATACTTTTTAATTGATTTGAGGATACCTCTCTGGACCAAAATGCTACAGCAGTGAGGCGTGTTCAATGATGATGTAATGGAAATGCGTAATGGAATATTTCACCGTGTGATGTCGGTTTTTTCGTTGTCACGCAGGGCCACATCGTGCTCACCGACTTTGGGCTGTGCAAGGAAGGCATCGACCCAAACAGCACCACCTGCACCTTCTGTGGGACCCCTGAGGTGTGGTGTCCAGCATTTTGTTGGGTTTTACAAGATTAATGTGTCCGTTCTGATTTTTGTGGGCGTGATTCACCCATCCTGTATTTTACGGGACTCGTTTGCCCATTTTATACCTCAAACCCATTCTTGCAGTCCTGCATTTCACAGGAGTGTGCCCTTCCGCCCGTCCTGTTTTTATAAGTGCTGCTATTTAATGTAATGCATGGCCTTATCATTAGCAAATCAAGTAAAACGTTTGCATAAACTGTACCTGCAGCATAAAGACAAAGATCTCGTTGTTATTTTGTAGACTTGTAAAGAGGAAGTGCTGTTACTGAGCACCTATTTTACATCTATGGAAAATTCATTAAAAAATAACAATTTACAGCCCTTTGTCAATCCACTGGGGGATGAAGGCCTCCGTATTCCCTTTCGTTTATGGTTATGGGGATTTGTTTGACTATGTTTCACCATGATAGTGTGCGTTGCTGGAGAGGGTGGGTAACCAGCTTCTGGCACCACTCGCCACTGATGCCTGCTGTGGCCAGGAATCGAACTCAGGTTGTTGGCTTTCATAGCACAGTGCGCCAACCTGTGCGCCAATGCCAAGGTAAATTCACGGCCATGGCTAACATCAGTAGTGGGCGGGACCTGAACTGGGACTGTGCCTCCCATTCACCAATTCTTATGAACCAGAGCGGTGAAATACGGTGAAGCAACTGCCATGACTGGCGAGGCCTTCACCCAACAGTCTATTGACAAAAGGGTGCAAATAGTAATTCAGTCACTTACTCCTCGCGTCAGACTTTCCACGTATTTCGCGTTTTGTGCACCAGTATTTGGCACCCGAGGTTCTGAAGAAGCACCCGTACGACCGGACGGTGGACTGGTGGTGTCTGGGCTGCGTGCTTTACGAGATGCTCTATGGGCTGGTGAGGGTCTCTCGCAGACGACACGCGCACGGGACCACCACCACTACTACACCTCCGATTAGCACAGTTGGATGGATACGTATGGTGTGAAAGAAGTTAAACATATATACATACCACCACCGTTACCACCACCACCACCATGTTACACTCCAGCTTGCGTGCTCATGCACCCAGCATGGGAACAACTGTCGAGTTCAGAAATACTGACACAGGAATCATATCCTTAGGTTTTTTTCGGTAAAGTCACGTAGGTAAAAACATTAAAAAGTAAAATAAAAAAATAAAAAATAAAAAATCACGACGTTTCGGAGGCAACACAAGCTTCCGTCTTCAGGTGGTACCGTCACAGCCACGACAGCTGAATCATAACCGTGATAGCAAAGGTGGAAAAGAGCTATATAGCTCAGTGGGCCTTACCAGGTAAAGTACAAAAATTGTTAATTTTGTGAGTGATAATTGCAGTAATCATAATGCTCGTGCATACGTTATGCAAGAGGGCCTTGCCTCTGTTGACTTCAAGGTGACGTCGATGGGTCGTGGTGTGTTTCCGTGCGTGCGCGTGCATGCCGCAGCCTCCTTTCTACAGCAAGAACCTGAAGCAGATGTATGAATCGATCCTGCACCAGCCACTGCAGCTGAGGCCCTGCACCACAAACGCGGCGATCTCCGTGCTGGAGGGGCTCCTGCACAAGGACCCACACCAGCGGCTGGGGGCCACCAGCGACATTGTACGGACACTGCGCCACTGCAATAGGCCTTTTCACGTCATTCGCTTGGGCGTGTTCCGCCAAATGGACCTCGGTTCATCCCATGGCTACCTCACGGGACGCAGCACAAAGATGTTTATGCCAGTGAATTTCATAAACATGTTGGCGAGGAGGGGAAAGATGGCGCGGTGGTTAGCGCACTGTGCTATGAACCCAGACATGGCTAACACCAGTGGTGGGTGATATCTGAACTGGAGAGAGATATATGGAAACAGAAAAGACATAAACACTGCCAATTTGTGATAATCGTGAAACCAATGTACATTTGCCGTATTGCTTTACAGGAGCAAATACCTGTGGAATTTAGGTCAAGCTCATGTGCCTAAATACTCAATATAATGGGTTTTTAATGAATACTGTGCAGCGTAACGTGCTGAGCTGAACATAGTGAATCTGTCATACCCTTCTTTTTGTCGCAGCTGGAAATTAAGAACCACGTGTTCTTCTCCACGATCAACTGGAATGACCTGGATGCAAAGAGAATCCCTTCTCCGTATAATCCCGGCGTGGTGAGTTAATACAGACAATACCACGGAGATGATATAAAATGTGTATATTGCAAGACCAGCCAGAGTGTGGTCCAAATATCCCTTCTCAAACTAAATGAACTTGCTCAGGTTGGAGGCTTCAATTTTACTGCCAATTTTCCCTTTGTACCTCTGCCCAATGGCAGGTCTTTTGGCTGCCCCCATCTGTATCAAGTGTGTCTTCTGCACTAAAGACATAGAAAGCCTACAAGTAAATAACCACAATTCTGAATAATATTGCTAATTGTGATGAGAATCATTTTCGAACTTTTGTTACGTGTTTTAACATTGGCATAACATGTCCCACTCTTGGAAATGACAACTTCACAGGGTCTTTGACCTTCCTTCCTGAACCAAACTGGTGAGTTTGCTTAGGGCAGACTCAGCCCTTCCCCCAACTGAGCTCAGTGAAAAGAGTACCACTCTGTGGGAAATGGACAGTCATTGTCCTTTGAAAAATACGTGTAATGTCGCCCCACTGAATAAGAGCCACTCATGGAGACGAGCAATGTCGATGAAAGTAGCGAGGCCTTTTAACTTGACTTTGTGTCGTTGAATATTTAAGCAGAAAGCAACGGGCAGCAGTGGCAATTCACGTGGCCACTGTGTGGGTGAATGTACTCACCACTACGCCACCACCCAACCATGTGTGTGCTTTTGTCTCTTCAGAGTGGACCCTGTGACCTGCACAACTTTGACCCGGCCTTCACAGCGGAGCCGCTGTCCATGTCGATGGCACAGTCGAGCGACACGAGCTCCGTCTGTGCCAATGTGGACGAGGCTGCGGACGCCTTTGTGGGATTCACATACATGCCTGGCCTTGAGGACCAGTACCTGCCAGATGTGTAGGCACAGAGAACTGAGTCGGTGTCTTAATCCTTGTTATTGCAGTAGTGATGAACATCATCGACAAGATCAATGTCAAGGCTTTATTTCGAATGGAATATTTTCTGGTATCCCAAACTCCCAACCACCCCACCCAGGTACCTCGCCACCTCCCCCTGCTTCCCCATGACGGCGACGGGAGAGGGCGCTTTGTGATCAATATCCTTAAGGTCATATCCACCGTCACCCTCTTCAATATAATCTTCTAACGCATCAAATCAATATCACTTTCAAACAATAATAATAATATTGGGGAAACTAAGCGATATGTCTCGGACCATGTTCGTGAACATAAGGCAGATCTGAAACACGGTAGGACCATTGTTGTAATGTGGTGGGCTCACACGAAATTTATTTCTCTAAGACGAAGGTACTTTGCAAGCCCACTGGCTATCAACAAAGATTTGTTCATGAAGCCATCCATATATATATAGACACAGACACAATTTCAACCTGAGAAGAGGGGTACAAACTGAGAAATCATTGGAAGGACGTTATTAACCAGTTTAAGTCATAACTGGCTGTGATGTTTCCATCCTACCTTCAAATGTTAGTAGTTATTTTCGGCTCTCTGGTTTTACATTAACAGGTTAAATGTCTCACACTAACACAGCCACCGTCGCTCATGTCCTCGATGTGGCGGTGGCTCTGCCACCTGACATTGACATGCTAATCTCTCACAATACAATGGCCACCTCCGCGCCTTTGTCGTCGTGGCGGTAGCTCTCCGACCTTACATTTACCTGCAAATTTCTCACTTTAACATCACTAGCCCCGCCCACTTCGTTTATGACCCTTGGGCTACACACATTTCGAACCTTTAAAACAGCCTGCCTCAGCAGCTTTCCCGCTCTTTTTTCTCCTGATGACGATTGCTTGTGTTGCGATCGAAACATCAATCTAGGTGACTTTACCGAAAGACCCAAGAATAATAATATTAGGTTTATCAGAATTAGTGCTAACATCATGAATTGCTTAAATTGATCAATTGTAGAACATTTTCTTTATACACAATGTTTGTATACTGGGCCACCAGACTGTCAGAAACTCCCCACAGGGTGTGCCCTGTATGATGCGGTGAGCATCAACGATAATGTCATCAATTCCCGTCGACCTCTATCCGGTGCGCTTAACAGACCTTTTGAGGCACGAGTGCGAACTTATTTATTCATGCAATTGGCACACAAATTGTATGCCCATTTCTAATTCTACTCGTTGAAGTTACGATAAATCAACCAATAGTTGCAGGACTAACCGTTACCATCTCCAATGTCATAATAATCAGCAGTCACCTACAATATTGTTATCATCAAAATACATTTCCTTTAATTTTTATATTACTACAGCTTATTACTACCCTTACGTTCGCCTCTTAATGGAGATAATTAAAGGAATCTACTGAACTCGTTATGCTGCCACGGTGGTAATTGCACATTGGACTTGAAATCCAGAGATCGCTGGTTCGATTCAATCACCTGGCACGACAGTTGAAACAATGCAAGTTTCTTCAATTCCCCCCCCCCACACCACCAGTCCTCTGGGTACAGCACAGTCGATAGTCACATTATATGTGGTGGCGTAAAATGTGGGTACTTCCACCTCTTCCAAGACGGCTGATCAGCATGGAAGAGTAGGCCGCTACTACTTTCTATAGGGAGACTCTCTCGAGGAGACTTTCAAGTGGAGACCCTTCCACCATAAGTGGCCTGAGCAAGCAATTGCAGGGCTGCACCTTTACCTTATACGATTTATAAACATCATTATATGAACCTTATGGCGGGACTGCGGGGTCCCGAATAAACGGATGTCAAAATCGTAATTTATTTTTGGCGACTCCGTTCCACCGCGCACATAAACGCCGCGACCCGCCTGGCACGGATCATTCTGTTGTCGTGTCGTCCAAGCGCAGCAGCGAGGACGAATGCGCAGAAGAAACAAAACTTTTAAACTTTGATTAGCGCATCGTGTAGAGCTCGTCGAGAGGAATAGATTGCCGTGTCGTTCGCCTTCAACAGACATAAAATGTCGTCGCAACGCAGTTTATGCGAGAGCCGGGGGCTTATAGGACCCCGGAGTCCCGCCATAAGGTTCATATAATGATCATGAATACATTCAAATGTTGGAGCTCCTGCTTGTGATACTCTGCTGCTGTGTGCAATATTTACTCTGTAACATTCTTTGCCGCATCTTCTCTTTGCATAATCCACCACGTTGTGCGTTCCATCGACTAGCTGACATTCCGTTTAACACTTCTTCCAGCAGCTGCGTCCTTTTATTTCTGATGCATGAATTCACAAATGTGGTATATACTCAGTCGAAACCACACACTTTTGTGTGTATATATATTTAACGCTAATTATGGATATATTTTTTTTCAGCTTCTAGAAGTGGAAGAAGTAAACAAGAACAATTTAAGTCTGTGTACTGTTTCCCTTTTATGGTTAGAATTTCAAGATATCAGTTATTCGTTTAATAATCGTGTGCAAACATTATATTAACTAACATGTAAAATTGGAGTCATATAACATTGTTTTCTTCGGTCCATTACTTTGTTATCATAAGACTTGTTTTACCGATGGCAAATACTTGAATCAGTAATGCTGAGCACATGTGATTGTTGATAGTTATTCAATTGTGAAATGCATTTTCTATATTAGGCTCGGCTTTTTGTAGAATACACATTCCATCCTGCTTTGCTCATGAACTCTACTTTGTGAACAAATGATACTTGCGCCCATGTGTGCCTTTCAGAACCATTCTGTGTGCTCTAAGGAGAGGCTAAGTGCGGTGTTTGATTTAAATCGTATAGTTGCAGTACTAAGATTATCGCAATAATATACATTGTACCAAAGACACATTGTTACACTCCAATTATATAAACTATCATTATGACACTAATGGAGTTGATTGGGGAAACAGTGGTGAGCACTTCGCTATACAGTGTGCTTCAAAAGAATGTTAACACTTCTGAGAATTTGCAACAACACCACAATAAATGTGCCTCCGGTCTCTGGAGACCACCTGGAGAAGATTCCAGGCATGTGTTGACAATGATGTCGAACAAGTGGAGACTTACTTATTGAAGTTATTAACATGACATTTGTTATCATGTTACAGTGTATTCGTTCTTTTTCCATTAAAAACGTTAGCCTCATCTCAGCGTTAACATGTTTTTGAAGCAGCCTGTATATCCATCGTCCTGAGTTTTAGTCTCAGCCACACTTAATGTCAGTGGTGAGTGATATCTAAACTGGTCTTGTCCTCCACTTCCATCCCCGGAAACCCGCATTGACCAGTGTGATCAAGCCCGTTCCAACAGATCATGTGACCTACACAGCACAGAGAAGCCCTACACTCAGCAGTGAACTGGTATGGATGACGATGATAATTATTATGCTACGACTACCATTCCAGTTGCAGGTGTGTTGAAGTAATTTCGCATCGTACAACCAACCGGGCGAGGGAAGAACAAACTAAACACAAAAAACTGCTCGCAAGAAATGAGTTTTCAATCTAGATTTCAAAGTGCATAGTTCCAGTGTTTTCCTAATATCGGAAGGAAGAACTTTCCAGACGGCCGAAGACGCGCATCATGAAAGTGTGCAATGCGGTGACGGGCTTTTTTCGATGGTTAGCCAAAAGTCGCTGCGAGGATGACCAGAGTTCAGATTTAGCATATTTAATAAAAAATACGATTAGAAAAATAGTAGAAAATACAATTATAGTATATATTTGAAATGTTATATTAAATCCATAATAAAAAAAATATTAAATCAGACAAGAGAACGCAACGCAACAAGCCATTGCACATCGTTACAATTGCATATGATTAAAATAATGTTGCATTCCCGTCAATGTGTGGACCTCGCGCAAGAGACCTGTGTAGGTCCGTGAGGTGGTGGTTACATGTAATGAACAAAAATGTGCTCGTCCTTACTAAAAACCAGAGGTGGGACAAAGTCATTGTTATGCAAGTCCAAGTCGAGTCTGAAGTCATCAAATTCATGACTCGAGTCTGACTCGAGTCCAAGTCACATGACTCGAGTCCACACCTCAGAGGTGGGACAAAGTCATTGTTGTCCAAGTCGAGTCTGAAGTCATCAAAATCATGACTCGAGTCTGACTCGAGTCCAAGTCACATGACTCGAGTCCACACCTCTGCTAAAAACAGAGGCACACACTCACATAGGGACACGGATACTTGCAGCAGGTAGCAATAACCTTGCTCTCAGAGAGAACAATGAAGCAGTGCTCTGTATACTCACCTGAACCCATCTGTAGCAATGTGCAATAGCAATTATGATTGATATTTTCTCAATGAGAATCTTATGAAACGTAAGGTTTGATGAACTCGCAACCATTAAATAAAAATTAGAGGTACGTATTATTGAAAAGAATAAATTATTGTGATCATGGCAATTGGTTGTGTAGTAACTTTAAGATGTATAAATGTGTTGTCTCAGTTGATATTATCCACGTGTTGTACCGAGTTGATCATTGCACACGTTTGGGAGTGCTTAAAATAAAGTATGATACATCAATAAACAAGTTATATCTAAAAGGGCAATGCACATGTAATTACACACTCGTGTTTATTTTTTGAGAGATGACTGCGGCTCTGTGGACCGATGTTTGTCTCAGGGCACTGAGCCATAATCTGAGGCTCTGGGTTCTCGACCGAGGTTGTTGCCCCTTGAGTAAGATTAACATCCCAGCCCCGTCACTGATACGCTGCATAAACATGACCCTTTAGCTGCCTGCGATGCAAATGTTGGATCGCAGAGCCAGCAAGTGAGTTAAATGTCAGACTCGTGGTCACTTATATGAAATTATTAGCTTTGCTACCCGGCTTCGCCCGAGACTTGGATTCTTGTCTTGGATTAACACACGGCCTACGCGGAGGGTGGGGGGAGGGTGCGTGACGTCAGAAGGCACACTGTGTGACGCTGCCGCATGCGGGTGACATCACAGATGTGACGTCACCGCTCACTTGCCGTGCAATATATATGCATTATTGCGCCCCTCCCACCCCCCAAAATACAAAAGTCAATTTTTATACTTTTTGCATTGTTTACAGTCTGGAAGATACCCACATGCCAAATTTCAAGTTTGTTGCATGTTGGGAAGTATGCCAAACATTTAGAACAGACATATTTACAAATTTCCCTATTATTTCTTTTGGTGTTACCTTAATTCTTGCAACCTATATTTCTGAGGACTAAATTATAAATAGCATGGGACTTTTTCTTTTTCAAATCCACGAGTCTCATGATTGTGTGGGATCGACTGTTCAGATGTTCTCTCGCCACGTGCGTCTACTCTGTGCCTCTTTCTCTCATCACATCCACTATCGTATCTCATTCCACCGCGTCCTCCCATCTCACTCTCGGTCTCCCTCTGCTCTTTCTGTCCTGTGCCAGTGGCTTCTCCACAACCCCTTCTAATTGCATCTCCTTTTCTCTTCTCAACACGTGCTCACACATTCTAATTCTAATCGAGAATATTAGTAACCACTGATAAGGCTCTTAACGTCTTCATTTTGCCTCCTTTCCCTCGGAGATATTCAGATATTACCACTATCCCAGCGTTCACATCTCCTCCCTTTCACGTACTTTTAGTTATGTGTAACTAAAGCATTACGTTCAGAAAACGAGTGTGCACTTTTTGGACTTGGATGGGGGCCATATATAATAGCTATGTTTAAGTTATTCCCGCACATCAATGCAGTAACACATACGGAGTGACGCTATGCTAGATGTGAGAAATATGTTTATTTGCTGCATAATATGAAGGATAGCCAGACTAGGCATATAGTTCTTGATTTACCTTTGATATATGTTTCTGTACAATGGAAATTAATTACAATTAATTATATAACTTTTTAAAGAAGGTTATGTTGGACAAGTTACCTAAACAAATGTAAGAGAGACAACTGGAAAACATCAGATTATGTATATTACCTCATGGTAACATGGACATTGACAAAGAAAATGTAACAAAATCTGAAAATTATTCAAGGGGTGCATGGACCTCCGATTAGCACAATTGTCTAAGTACAGTGCGAAAATAGTTCAACATACGTACATACATGCTTGGAATTACAGCGTCAGTAAGAGGAACACGTGAATTATAGAACATATGCAGAGGTAATAAAATCACATTGACCGTGAGGAAATGAAAAGTGGACTTGGGCAGAACAAGTCATAGAATGCAATGATCGCCAGCGGTAGAAGCTAATGATGGACTCCCAGGTAAAGGTGAGAACGAGCCCGAGACAGCGTCTGCCGTCATAGACATCGAGCGATAAAAACACATTCCTGTGGAGGGAGCTGTTAGGAACGTTGGGTTGCTGGGTCAATGGCCAGGGTCAACGGCGGCGTGGTGTATTCCGCAAATATGACCGACTGTGAGGGCGGGCACAAGCCGGCGTGAGTAGGTTAAACGTTGAGTTTTATAAGGGCACCATGGGGTGACCAGCCCCTCCCCACCCAGCCCCACCCCTCCCACCCCCCACCCAGCCCCACCCTCCCCACCCAGCCCCTCCCCACCCAGCCCCACCCCTCTCACCCCCCACCCAGCCCCACCCTCCCCACCCAGCCCCTCTCCGACCCTCCCCACCCAGCCCCTCCCCACCCAGCCCCTCCCCACCCAGCCCCTCCCTGCACGACGGACGGACACACTAATCCCCTGTGGGCTGGTGTAACAAGGAGGTTCCTACCAGTATCAGCTCATGTGCAGGACGCAGATGGGTTGTTACGTCACAATCCATTGAGAGATGGTGATGGCCTAGGGAGGTCTTCATCCAGAAGGTGATAGATCACAGCTGATGGTGATAATGGCCATGCCTAGTTATGATGCATATTGGGGTTTCCACGATATGGAAATACCACGATATATTATATATTATATGATTATCATATCGTCTGTTTAGTCAACTATCATGTCATCCTCAGTGTCGTTGCTCTTTTTGTACAACAATATGAAATAACAAACTCTAATTCAAATATGAATAGCGATTTCCCATGAGGTTAGTGCTTTTGCAAATAAAGGTCTTCCAGAGTAATTGCTGGCGTGGCGATGCTATGTAAGAATGTCTGCAGTTATAAGCTTTGTAGAAGATTCATGGCAGGCTTATGTTGAGGGAACCGCAATTGCATAACGTTTAAGTAATCTTCATTTTTACTGGAAATACAGCAAAGCACAAACAATATATTTTTTTAATGTGAAATCCCATGACAAAGTAATAGGAAACGGATATTTTGATAATGATCATATCGATATTATTGTGTCTTCAACATTATATTGCGGCAGCCCGAGTGTAAATACGGAAACAGAACACGCCACTTCTGATGCTGGGCTGCCTCGTAAAAGTTGTGACCGTGACCCCGGTTCCTGAACTGAGCTGGCTTGCCTTCCATGTGGACGTGTAAACACGGATTAAGTGCAACACTTCCTTCTGTTAGAGACATTCACGGAATGAAAATGTATAAGGCATTCATTGTAAATCCTGTAAAGTGTTGGTTCTTTTTCACATTTGTATTGATTAACGACCCACAGGGATAAGCCCCCCTCCCACCCATCCCCGAGCTGAACGAGTGGGAGGCCATGGTAAGGTGACAATCTAGAATCTATACAAAAGTTTGGGTGCATGTGGTGACAACCACTCATCCAAAGTGGCAGCTGTCTTACCTTGTTTTGAATCGCCCAAACACCATTTGTGCCCGTTGTCATGATAACTTGCAGGGAGTGGCAGGTCTGTTTATATTTTCAAAAGTCATTGTCCCGTCCCTTAAGGCTGCTTATTGCAGCGGATTGGCTTAGAAAGCAGGTGGCGTAAAAAAAGGCAACATTTACCTAGCGAGTGAAGTGTGTTAGAAGCCATTTGCTTATGTTGCTGGCATAGTTGTGTGCTACACTACAATCCCATTAGCTGTATTTGATGACTATGATGTACCACACCAGTTTGAATTTATAAGAATTGATTTGAATTGATATCTCAACCTGTCCCTGTCATGGTTTCCACCTTGGCCAGTGTCACATGCAATAAGTGTCTCGTCAACACCAGCACTGGGGAGACAAAGGTGACCGAATGAAAGCCGAATTTGGCCATACCTTAGATCGCAGTGCCGTACTGACGGTGTATATTTGATCATTATGGCGGTACCCTGGGGTACCAAATAATACTAAATGGGACGAGGCAATTAAATATTTTATTTGTGGGACACAATTTTTTCCAGGGTTGTACTTCACTCCGCAGCGGGGACGATTGCGCTGAAACCCTGAACGCTCGTACGCACCGTAGTCGTGCATCGTGTACAGCTCGTCGAGATGAGTCGTTCGCCGCATCGCCGACCATCAACAGACTAAAGATGACTGCATCACGGACATGATGCGAGAGCCGGGGTACTATGGACACCCCCGGGGTACCGCCATGAGGTTCATTTGTGTAATTCGAAATTACAGAAGCGATGACAATATTTTGACAACAAAGTGTTTTTTTAAATATTGTATTTCAGTCAATGATGACTATAAGTTGACGAAGAAAAACAAGCATGACGATAACGACTACCCACCGAATACCAAATCCTGATTGAAACGAGATGAAATTAACTCGGTTTGAATGAAGACACAGACTAAGCTACTTTAGTAACGCTATTCATGACTAATGTGAGGTCATGGTGACATATCGTTTCAATCCAAAACATTATTGCTGCCCCCCCCCCCCTACTCTGCGTACAATTGTCCATCGTGGAAGCATTGAACGTGAACACATTACCCCACTACAAGTCAATCACTGGTTGAAGCATCCTGTTAATAAATTGTCAACCGCCTTACATGAGAATTGAACCATGAACCTCTAAACTGGTGAGGGGTTTTCACTCACATGAGCTTTAACGACAGCAGTGCATGCTTGTAAATGTTCCAACCTCTATTAATCATTATTAACGAAAGAGTGGTGGTTCTGTAACTAATTGACGAGCATTGGGGGGTAAAAGCGAGCTCATCTTACCCGAGGGCTCACCTATTTTAAGGACGTCCCATCTGACTTATAAGCGCCTCGAGCAGCCCACTAGAGCTAATTCCCTTAATCCCAAAACTAATGTCGTGTAAGAACCCATTGAGATAATGTCGTCTTGCAAGGCAGACTTCTTGGCAGGGCATTCTCAGCTCGACCCTAAGCTTGGCAACCATTACTGCACGATGAGACAGGACCTGCAATCGTACGTGGTTCAACCAGAGTGAAAGTGTACAGGGGCCGTCCATAAATGACGTCACGCACCTAGGGGGGGGGGGGGGGTAAGACATTTGTGACTATGTGTGACGAGGGAGGGGGGGGTTGAGAAATGTGACGTCACATCAAAATGCACAACTTTAAATAAATACTAGCTGTACTACCCGGCTTCGCCCGGGACTT